TTTTTCCCTGCCCCTCCGTGCCCACTGTGCCTCCACTTGGTCCTCCTGCTGCCTCCTGCTCCTGAGCACGCCTTCCCCTCTAGGGCCCAAGCACAGAGAGTAGCCAGACAGGGGCAAGCAGTGGCATCAGCCTGTCTGAGTGGAGTTTTCCCAAGTGCCCAGGAAAGTCCAGAACTCAAATGCTTCTTCAGACAATGACAGAGACTGGCATTGTTCCTCGTGTTCTTCTGTCCCTGTGCAACCCGGCCCGGAGCCTGGGTCACTGTAATAGCCCCTTCTTGCCAACACTGGTGCTGCTCTGTGGATGGGAGCGATGGCTGGACCATCACCCGCCAAAAGTCATGTGTGGATGTCAGTGCTCCAGCGCCCATTGGGAGGGATCTCGGTCAAGCTTTCTAGTTACCTATGAAGCAAAGAAGCCCAGGAATCCTCGCAGGCTGTGCTCACCCTGGCACCTTGCTCTGCCCCCTCCACAGGAGCTCGTGCACAATGTCACACAGGGGCAGTATCCTGTCTGGATTGGAGTCCGTGTCGTATCCCCCATGGAAGAGTGGGTTTGGGTGAATGGCTCCACATTGGACCAAGATCTGTGAGTGTTGCCCGCTGTTTTGCGACTTCCTAAAATCCTGCTCTGGATTGGGTTGTCTGATCTTCCAAGATCATTTTTCAATTCTGTTATTCTATTCAATTCTGTTATGTTATTTAAGTCTGAATGCTAAAAAAAAAAAAAAAATCCCATGCTTTTCTAGTCCTGCTTCTACAGGGCCTGCTCTGTTAGTCCAATGATTATGAACAGCTTTCCAGGGTGTGTCTGTGCAGCTATTGAGGGGTGGCTCTTGAGTCTGCCCTGAAGAAGCCCAAGCCACGTGAGCTGGTCTGTCCCCACCTACATCACCTCGCTAAAGTTGTGCATGAGGTACTGAAGGGAGAAATGAGTAGCAGGCAGGCTGTTTCCTCAAAAGCCTGGACTTGTGCCTTTTTCAGGAATCAACCTGTCTACTGCTTATGTCTCCCTTCTGTGCTCAGCTGTTTAGGGGCAGCAGGAGGCTTGTCTGTACCATGGCAGCCTGTCCCAAAGAACCTGAGTGCAGGCTGTAAGGATGAGCCCAGAGCAGGCTCACTGGTGCAGCTCCAGCTCTGGTGCACATCAGTAGACTGCGGCTGCCTGAGGCGTGCTCAGCCCCATCAACCCAGGGGCACTTCACTGCCAGAAGCCTAGGGAATAGGGTACAGAAGGACCAGACAGCCGGTGCTTGTGACTTTTAGCTCAGGTGAGTTTTCTGCACCCTGTAGGGAGGGGCAGGCCAGCGCTTAGCTTGACTCAAGGCCCTGCAAGTCAGGACAATTCCTGGGGGAAGCCGGATGCTTCCCAGGGTTGAGGATGTTAGACCCCGGCTCCATGCGGCACCCAGCAACTAGGGAGATGATGGTCCAATTACTGTGGATCCTGGTACTCGTTAGCCAGAGCCGAGCAGGGAGCAAACACCAGCACACATTGCTCGCAACAGCTTTATTCAGAAGGAGACAGCGTCGGACAAGGGCCTCACGCCATAAGAGACGGGGTCCTGCCCTGAACAATAGTTTTTTCCCACATTTGTACACTTTGGTTTATGCTCATTACCATTCATTCTACCCTTGCCCCTCCTGTGATCCCCCCATTTCTCCTCCCATCTCACACTCCGCCTCTGTTTACTGTTTGTTTCATTAACATGGAATTGCCTATGCATTTCATTCATTTACGTGTCTTTTTGCTATGAGCGCGTGTCTAAGACCTTGACTTCTCTTCTTCGGCCAATGGGCGGACTTTGACCAAAACCTGGAAGCTGCTGGAGGCTTCTTCACCAATCACCATTCACCTTTTTCCATACGTTCATCTTGGATTCTGCTACCAATTACGTGTTGTTTTCCACATTTCAGTCTGTTTTTCTGTCTCAGGTTGTGCCATCCCCACCCTTTTTGGACCCCTGTATCTTATCTCATTCCTTACTCTAGCTGGTTCACAGCACACAGCCTTAATTGCTGCTTTTTTCCAGAAAAATGGTTGACACAGTTAAAATGGTTATTTCGCATAAGCAAATGGCTGGCTTAGCTATCATTCTGCCTTGGGGTCAGCCGCTCTGCTAGGCCACAGGTCATGCCTTGTATTCAGCTGCAAATCCAGTGCTCTCTAAGATCCAAAGTATTGTCACCCTAACGGAGGACAGGAGTTTTCATGTAGAAGTCAGGCAGGTCTGGGCTAGAGGGCAGGCCTGAGAGTGTCCCAGGGTAGCAGTGTGGATCTGCCCAGAAATGGCTGCACATGGGCCAAGGCAGGGTAAGGAGCCACCCAGGGATAGTAACTGTGATGTGTAAGCGATGCAGGAACTTGCAGAAGAGGCGCGTGGGAAAGGAAGAGGAGGAGGTGGAAAGCTGCCCCATGAGATAAGCAGGTGGGGCCAGGTCTGTCCCTGGAGCTGCTTGTGCCATTGGCTCCAGTGGGACGACAGGGACCTGACGTGGCTCACTAACAATGACTTGCCTTCTCCTGTGCTCTCCAGGTTCCCGCTGCCAGGACCTGCTGATGGTAACAGCTGTGGGATGTTAAAGGGGGATCAGACTAAATCTGAAGTTTGCACTGCTGAGTTCAAATGGGTTTGCTGGAAGGAAAGCATCCCGCTGTGAGCCGGGGCACGGCGGCTCCTCCTTCCCACAACAGAAGAAGAGCTGCCCGGAGCATCAGCCCCCGAGCCGAACAAGGCTAGGGCAAGATTAAAAAAACAAAAAACAAAAAGGGGATCAGAGCTTTCTCTGGATCACAAGAAGGCCCAGAGCTGTAATCAATTCTGATATCATTTCTGGCAAGGTCCCAAATCTCGTTGCTTTGTAGGTGCCTGGTGCTTAGGCCAAGAGCTAATGGGTCTCAGCCCTGTTGTTGCATGGTCCATGTATTTGCCTCAGACATCACTCATGGGCAGTAACCCAGGTCAATCTGTGCAGCTCCTTATCTGGGCTGGTGCTCAGAGTCAGCCATCAGTTGTGAGGCTGTGTGCTCCAGCGCTATAATCCCAGCCCTGGGCATCGTTGCAGTGCAGCTGCGTATCCAAGTCACTTCTAGTGCGCTTAAATGCACCGACCAGCGTGGCACGGGTTTCCTGTGCTGCTTCTGTCTTCCCTTCTCTTCCCCACAATCCTGCTGCTGCCCAAGGAGTGTGTGGATCAGCTTCCCCTTCCCCAGACATAGTCAGACACATGTCCCTTCTCACTGGGCTGGCACAAGGACTGATCCCATCTTGTCCCAGCCATAGCAAACTTGCCCAGGTTGTGCTCTGACTCCTGGGGAGAGACCCAGAGCAATGGCCTGCAGGGAGACAACCCCTGCCCCGGCTATGATCGGGGCCCCATTGTGCCAAGCACTGCGCTGAGACCTGGACAGAGGGTCCTCCGTGTCGCTTGCTGCTGTGCGCCGTGCAGGAGGCGCCTCACCCGCTTGGCCAGACTCCTTGTGCGCTTGTTTGAAAAAATAGCCTCATAAAAAACATTATTTATTTTACCACAAAATAACCCCCTTCTCTGTGATCCCTTCAACCCCAAACTCCCCCATTGCGCCTTGACCACAGGGCCCAGCTGGACTGCTGTGGATCAGTTCAGACATGCCAAGGCAGAGTCTGTCCCCTGGCCTTTCGTGCCAGCACCGATCCTGGGGACATCATGTGCATGAGGGCCTTTGGATTTTTAAAAGCCTTCCCCTGATGTCCTGGGACATATTGTCCTGCTGTTTCCCTTTGGGAAGGCTGACAGGGGCAGCCGCATGGGTGGGAACAGGCGTTGGTCCCCAGGTGAGCACTCATGGCCCCACGTAGCGAGAGGTGGTGTCCAGAAGGTCACAGAGATGCTGTCTGTGGCTGCCGCAGGAGACAGCAGCCTCTGTGCTGAGCTATCCTGGGCCAAAGACAGTCCTATCTGATGATGACCAGGGACAGCCATGCCTCCAACTCCCTCTGCGAGGGCTGCAGGTTGGTAGGAGATCTGGAGCACATGGACAGGGCAGGAGCTGGGGGGAAGTGGTCTGTGGCTATCCCCAGCTGGGGTTGAAGGGACATGGGAGAAGAGCCCTGAGATCTGCCTGACCACACCTGGCCAAGTCCCCACTTGCCACAGCACAGCTGGCTCATGGAGGGGTCTGCACTGCTGTTGACCCTGCGCCACCACCCCACACACCTGGGATAGTCCCTTGGGATGGGCAGTGTTTCTTACCCCTCTCCACAAAACCTATGCAAGAATGTGCTACCCCGGTTGTCTTCCCCTGGGGATCTGTGCCCATCAGTGCACGGGGACCAGACCACCTTCTTTAAGCAGGGCAATGATTATTGTCATGGTGGAAACAATGCAGAGCCCTGCAGCCAGCAGAGCTTGGGCCTGATCCTTTCAGCTCCCTGCTGCAGTTTTGGTGCCTGGAGTTTCTGGGTCTTTCTGGACCCCGACTCTGTCTCTTAACAACCTCCATGTATTTGAGGAGAAGGGGCTTCCCTTGAGCCCTTTCTCCCTTTCCTGCTGGGTTTCCTTGACAGGTCTCTCCCAGTCCAATCCAAGAGATGCATCCACACCAAGCTCTCACACACAGCTAAGGGGATAAGGCTACGCGTACTATACAATATTGATGCCTAACCACTCCGGGTTCATTTCACATAGGGGAAGCAATAGGGTGGGGAAAGGGGGCTGCTGGATGAAGGAGAACAGGCATGCAGGGGTGGAGGGGCATGGCGTGGAGTGAGGGAGGGGCAGGATGGGGGTCTTTAACTCTAACCCCTCCTCCCAGGTCTCAGACCCAAGGGGAGGACCCAGGTGTCTGGGCTGTGGCTCTTGGGCCCTGCACCATGGTAGAGGCTTCAAGGTGGCCACCTCTCCCCTTAGCCAGGCTGCAGGAACAAACAGAGGCAGTGGCTGCTCTTTACCAGTGCTTTACTACCAGGGGAGAAAGCTAGGGGCTTTAACCGGGGGGGCGGTTATTGCCCTTTTTGTGGGGTTGGTGGGCAGGATCGTTATCAGTGGGAGTTAATTGCCCCTGGGTGGGGGGGAAGAGGGTGCCGGGGCTTAGGCCGGGGTCTCCAGGGTGGAGGCCGCACTCTCCACGGCCTGTGTGGCGATGCTCAGGTGCTTGCGGATGGCATCCCAGTCCCTTGCCGCATGGGCCTCAGCTAGGCCCGGGAAGGTGGGGACACCTGCAGCCCGTGGTGTCCACAGCACGTGGCTGAGATGGAAAGCAGAGGTCACTGTTGTTGTAGGGAGGGAGCACAGCTTAACAAGGGGTGCTATGCGGGGGAGAGAGGTGGCAGAGCCGGGGATGCAACCCAGGAGTCTGGGCATCCCGTCCTCACTGCTCTCACTCACCAGACCCCATCGCCCATCCCGAGTGGGGAGAGAACCAGGCGTCCTGGCTCCCAGCCCCTCCTGCTCTTACTCACCGGCCTACACTCCCCTCCCGGAGCTGGGACAGAGCCCAGGAGTCCAAGCTCCCAGCTCCAATCCCCTAAAAACCATTGCCTTCCCAGGGCAGGGGGTGCAAGCCCAGTGCCCGCACTCCCTGATCTAACCCTCCAGCCCCCATTCCCTTTCTAAGCTGGATGGGATCTAGGGGCATTTATACACATACTCCAGAGGGGGTGCTTTAATTAGAGTGGCTCCAAGAGCTGCTCTAATTAAAGCAAGCGCTTGCAGCATCATGTGTATTAGTGACCCCGCACTGAAAAAGGGCGGCAGGGGTGCTTTAGTTAAAGCACCCCCACTGCCATTTTTCAGCATGGGGACGCTGATGCATGTGATGCTGGAGTCTGCTGGAGGGTGGTAATTCCCACCCTCCAGCGGACTCAGTTAATCCAGTCTTTTCCAATGCACTGTAATTACAGCACATTGAAGCAGCCTCAATGCATGTGTATAGGCGCCCTAGGTATCCTGGCTCCCAGGACCCTTCTCTAATCCTTCAGCTCCACCCCGCTCACAGATCTTGGGGCAGACCCAGGCATCCGGGCTAGTGTCCTTCCCCCCAGTGAGGTTACCTGTAGTAGTACTTGCTGGGGAAAGCCCGGGGATCCAGGAAGGCCCTTTCCAGTAGCATGATCTGGTCATTCACCATCCGGACCTCCAGGGGACTGGAGAGGTGAGAGAGGGGTGGGTGGTATGTGAGACGTGCATTCACAAGTGCGTGCAAGCCCCTGCATGGGTCACAGATGCAACTTGTCCTCTGCCCCGCCACGGTACCTCATGCTAACACCCGTGGACTCCACCTGTGCAAATGCCCCACAGGGTTTGAGCGTACACATGTGCAGAGCTGCATGCACTTGTGGGTGCACCATGTGTCTCCATCATATGAGGGAACCCAAGCATGAGTGGCCCCTGCCTACAGATAGGTCTAAGTAGGAGCAGGCAACACACGTGTGTGATGAGTGTGTGTATGTATGTGTGTATGTAAAGCAGGCCCACGGCAACGGGTTACACATGTGCATGTGCACTTGTGTTGCATGTATGATGCATGAGCCAATGGGAACCTACAGTTAAATAAGGACTTACTTCCATGCTGCCATGGGCACACACGTGTATGCACATGTGTGTCACAGGGCTGCTGCATAGGTAGCTGGACTTACTTAGGAGACGACTCTTCCTTGAGCTTCATTAGCCGCTGGTTGAAGTCAGTGGCGACGGCCTTGAACCGATTGATGGCGGCTTTCAGCGGGGCTGTAAGGGGACAAGATGAAGGGTTGGAGAGCGGGGTGCCCCTAGTACTGGGGCAGCGGGGCCGGCCCTGCCTGCCCAGGCAGAGTGCCCCTCTGGGCCCTCCTTCGTGCCAGGGCCTTGCAATCAGCTCTGCCTGCCTGGGCACCCCTGCTGGCTGCCCCCTGCCTCACCGAGGGAGATGTTGTGGGCTGCGAGGTCAGCTTGCACCTGCCCCTCGGCAGCCACACTGTACAGCCCCTCCAGAGCCTCCCCGTAGTCGCTGACATTGAGAGGCAGGACCAGGCTGTCGGCCAGACGCAGCAGCACGTTCCCGGCTGTCCGTGCCACGGCCTGGTGGCTGGTGAACCCTGTAGGGAAGGCAACTCAGAAATCTGGCCTTTCTGCTAGGGGTGGTGGGAGAAGGGTCCGAGCCCCTCCATTACCTGGGTCAATGAACCTGTCGGTGTAGTCGAAGGTATCGAAGGCCGTGTGGTAGGCAGGGTAGATCCGGGCTGAGGTCTGGCTCTGGGGTAGAAAGGAGGGTACACACAAATCAGCTGGGGGTGGCAGGGGCATCTGGACAGAGTATCTCTTGCTGGCTGCCCTTGCAGCATGGTGCCGGGGGAGCAGGATCAGCCCTGCCTGCCCAGGTGGAGCACCTCCTGTTGGACCCCGTAATTGCCCCCGGGGGGAGCACTGAGGCTTGTTACCCGGTCATAGGTGTAGGCGAGGTCCATGGAAGTGATACCCAGGTAGTGGATGAAGGAGGCGTAGTCACTGCCGGCACCCAGCGACCCCAGGCTGAGGACAGTAGAGAAGTGAGGCATCACTGAAGCTAGCAGGGACACCCCTAGCCAATCCAGTGCCCCCTGGATCACCCTTCCCAGGCCCAGTCAGCCCCATATCCCCCCTCCTCCCCACGAATCAGCTCCCAGGGTCAGCCAGCTCCACAGCCTCCCTCCCTGCAACCCCAGGCCCAACTATCCCCATGTACCACCTCTCCACTCCCCAGGTTGGCCCTCTTTGGTGCCCTCCAAATCCCACCTGGGGATGACCCCATAGGTGGGGCTGCTTCGGTTGGTATGATGCCTCCAGTTATCATAGACTGACCCAGTGCCGCTGCCCGGGGCTGGAACCTGCGGGGGGTGAAGGGGAGATGCATGAAGGGGAGTTGGGGCAGGGAAGGAAGGGAATGGGTGGAAAGACCCCATTGCCCCACACCTGCTTGGCAGCTGTGAAGATGACACTCTGGGCAGGAGGGGTCCCCTGGCCTCGGAGGGTGGCATTAGCTGTGGAGATATGGAGGGACATAGGGTCAGAGGACATAGGGTCACGTGTTTGGGCATATGTGGTCTCTCTTGTGCATTTTTATTACGTGAATATTCTCCGGTGTATTCACATTTGCAGGCTTTTGCATGCGTGCTTGATATGTATGCTTTTGCACACCCTTGCACACCCTCGCCTGCAGGGCCACTTGCACCTTCTCACACATGCTGTGCTGCACGCATGATCTCTTGCAGGCAGATTCTGCTTCATGTGCACTCACTTCTGCACACATGCCCTCTGCCCTGTAGAGGCTGCATATTCACTGCTTGCCCTGTGCTCTGACTGCTCATGCTGGCACACCTGCCTACCTCAGACAGCCCTTGCACACTCTCACATATGTGCATTTGTTTGCACTGTATTTCATATCCAGTGGACTTGAATCACTAGAGCAAGGTACAGACATTCAAAAAGCCTGAGGCAGAATCGATCTAAGTTACATGGTTTTCTGTAAGCGGCATAGTTTATATCAATAGCAAGAAGATCAATAGCATGCGCGCGTGTGCTTGTGTGTCTGTGCTCTCTTCCCTTCCCTCCTCCCTGCAGGGAGATCTCAGCAGATCCCAGAGCCAGGCCCCAGCTTAGAGAGGCTGCAAAGGGCACAGTGTGCTGAGGGCAGGGGTTGGATGGATAAAGGGATGTACAGAAAGACGCACCGAAGACGGAGATGTCCACATTGATGTAGGCCACGCTTCGTGCCTGCAGCTTGCTGGAGAACTCCTGGGGGAGAGGTGGGGGTTAATACGGTGGGGGCTGGGGGAGGCAGGAGGGGATACAGGGCTGGCTGGGCCCAGGGAGAAATGGGGAGATGGGGGCCGATCCAGGAAGCGGGAGGGGACACCAGGCTGGCTGGTGAGCCAGAGCATGTTCAGTGCAGCCCTACACCCATGCACACACGCGTACCTCTGTGTACTCAGTTGAGCCAATCAGACCAAACTCCTCTGCCCCCCAGCTGCCAAAAATGATGGATCTTCTCGGGCGCCATGTCCCTAAGGGGAGAGAAACCCCAGGGGTTAGGGCCTGGGGCCGGGGAGCCTGGGCCCTGGGTTCGGTGCTGCTCTGGGAAGGGAGTGGGGCCCAGTAGGTTACAACGGTGGGGGCTAGGATCCTGGATACCTAGGGTCTCTCCCACTGCGGGAGACGAGTGTGGGCTGGGGGGTCAGAACAGAGGAAGCTGGGAGCTTGGATACGTGGGTCCTCTCCCTGCTCTGCTCTCCCCACCTGCCACTCACCTTCCTTGAGCATCTTGCCCAGCACACGTGTGATCTCCAGCATGACAGCCGTCCCGCTCCCAGGGTCCACGGCCCCATGCACCCAGCTGTCCCGGTGGTTCCCATAGAGCACATACCTGTCTGGGAAGGCAGGGTTTGGGGGGATGCAGATAATGGGGCTGGGCTGGGCTGGGCAGTGCAGGCAGGAATCTGGGGGGCTGGCTGGGTGTGAGAGGGGTACCAGAGGTTGTGTGGGGAGTGGAGATTGGTTTGTTGGGTGGGGGCTGCAGGGTGTGGGGGTTGGCTGACTATTGAGGGCATGGGGGGCTGGCTGGGTGTGGGGGTCAGCAGGAGGCTATGGGACCCCGGGATTGCTCCCTCCCTGGGGGAGGGGACCAGCCTGGGAGTGGGGGGGCAGCCCTAGGGGCCAGATGCGAGGGGTCCAGTGGGGGCAGCTGGAATGGGTGGGGATCTGGGAGTGGGCACAGGAACAGGAACTGGGGTGGGGGAGTCTGTGTGGGTTGGAGGGTCTCAGGGGCATGGTGGAAGGGAAGCCAAGGGGGCACTCACCGGGCTCCTGGCTGCCTCGGATAAAACCCATCACATTGGCTGACTTCTCGATGACCCGCTGGTTGTAGACACTGACCTGGACCTCACTGGGGAAGGGGTGTGGGGGGTCAGAGCGGGGAGGTCAGCGCAGGGGGCAGAGTTTGGGGAGCGAGGGCAGGCCTTGGGGTTTGGTGACTCAGTGGTGGGGGAACTGGGGCCAAAACCTGCTGCATCCCTCCATCCTTCCATACCTGGAGCTGGGGAACTGCCCGTCCATCCGGAAGCCCGGCCCAATGCAGTAGGTGCAGCCCAGGGCACCCTGCCAGGCTGCGGGGGCCTCTGGACCAGCCAGGGAGCTGCAGGGCACAGAGATGGGGCAGTTAGATCCTCAGGCCCCCCTCAAAGCCACTGATATTGGGGAAACCCCCAGCTCCCCAGTGGGTATCCTGGTAGCATGAGTGGGGAAACTGAGGCACAGAGCCATCAAGTTGAGGAAACGTGATTGTATAGGGACACCTGGCAAATACAATATAACCCAGGCATCCTGGTCTTCCCCATCTCCCTTGGGGAGAACCCTCCCCTCCCCTCCCCTCCCCTGCCAGAAACAGGAATGGATCCCAGGGAGCCCAGACGCCTGGGCTCCACTTCTGTTTCAGGGGCCAGGAATAGCACCCAGGCCAAAACGCTGAGTAGGTTGGACTATGGGAGCCAGGCACCTGGGTTCTCCCACTCCGGGAGGGGAACAGGGGGCTGGTGCGGACTAGAGCAGGTGGGGTTGGGAGCCCAGACACTTGGGTACTCTCCCTGCTCTCGGGTTCTGGGCCCCACCGTGCCCCATCACCCACCAGATGAGTGTGCGGGCATCCTCAAAGCCAATGGGCTGGGTGGGGATTGGGGGAATCCCCTGAATCTCTGACTCCTTGATCCGGTAGGTGAATTCTGAAATGGGGGGAAGAGAGAGGCAGTCAGAACATGGGTCACTTGGGGCAGATGGGGACCCCACACACTTGGGCTCTTACCCACTGCCAGGAGGGGAGTGGGGTGAAGGGTTACAGCAGGGGGCACTGGGAGCCTGCACAGGGGGGGTGGGCTCTGGCACTGAGATTTGGCTGCCGCTGCAATGGGGCATTGGCCCCCCTTGCCCAGCGCTGAGATGCAGCTGCCTCTGCAGTGGGATGCCATATTGCCAATCTGCAGCCCACAGGGCCCCTCCTGCTCTCTCTCCAGGGAGAGATCATGCCTGTCCCAAAGGCGCCAGAGGAGAAAGGGCAGACTAGGGCTCCCTCCCCAGCTCCGGGCAGTGGGGCCTGGTGGATCAAAGCTGGGAGGCTTAGGAGTCTACTGGGTACCTGGGGCTCTCCCAGTTCTCGGGGGGGAGGGGAGTGAGGTCTGGGAGCCGGGTGCCCCACTGCATCATAAGCCACATACCTTTAGCAGGGTAGTAGGGTGTCAGCAGGTCCCCAAAGCTCTCGGTGTAGGACCCACGCTCAACACCCGAGGGGGGCAGATGCCAGGAGTTGGGGTAGGTGTCATTCTCGCCTGCCCGCCCATCATTGATGTCCTTGGGGTCCGTGTACACGACCAGGCCAGCCACGCCGAACTCAGCCCCCACCACTGCCTGCAGGGGGGTTGGGGGCTCTGATGTCTGCCTCAGTTTTCCCTCCTCTAGTTAGACACTTCTGCTGTACCCTTCCACCCCCTCTCCTCCCAGAGCAGGGGAGTGTGGTCTGGGGAGTTAGGGCAAGTGGGGCACTGGAAGCCCAGATGCTGGGGGGGCAGTGGGGACAGGGTCCTCCCTCACCTTGGTGGCCCGCCCAGCACCCCCATAGCGAACGATAGCAATGGTGCCGTTGAGGTCCAGGCCGAGTCCCACCAGGGTCTCATAGTCGCTGCGGGTGCCCTGGTGGGCATAGACCAGCCGGCCCTGGGGAGGGAGAAGCAGGGTCAGGTCCACAGCGATGTCACCGTGGTAACGGGATCTCCCCAGGCAGGGGTCTGCTGGCGTGGCAATGCGGAGGGGCAGCCCTTCGCCTCTGAAGGTACGTGGCCATCAGCATGGCGATGCTGGGGGGTATGTGGCCGTGGGCATGGTGACACATGGATGCATGCTTTGTTGCCATGGCATAGCTTTCTGAGGATACAGGGCCATCGTCATGGCAACGTGTGCCTGCGGATCTCTGGGGACATGTGGCTGTTGTCACGACGACACGTGGGGCAGCCCACTGTTTCCGGGGATACGTGGCCATCCCTGTACCAACCAGCAGGGGCCATGATCCTAGTCACAGCACTGTGGGTACAATGGTCCATAGTCACAGTGACAGTCAGGAGTGGTTGCCATGGTCCCCGCGTGGCCTTGGGGTGGCCATAAAAGTAGGGCGGTCCGGATGATCAGATAACAGGGCTGTTAACCCCCCAGGGGAGGGGACGATGCCCCAGAGGGCTGTTAACCCCATGGGGAAGACTGTTAACCCTGAAGGGGGGGGTCTCCCATACCTGGGGGCTCCCCGATGGTGCATACGCGGCGTAGGGTGGGACCACGTCCTCCTGGGCCTGGTCCGGGGTCAGGACCTTCTCGCTACGCCGGGCCTCGAAGAGCCGGGACCCATTCAGCACTGGGGGACAGATACTCTCAGGGCAGGGGATGAGGGGCAGGCAGGGGTGTAACCCCCATTTGCCTCCACCCACCCCATCTGCCCCAGTCCCACCCCAGTGCTGCCCCACTCCTTCCCCTACAACCCTGACCAGTGCAGGGAGAGAGCCCAGGCGTCCTGGCTCCTAGCTCCCCTGCTCTCGGCCATTGGAGTCTCTTTGGCTTGCACATACCCACAGCCACACTGTTGGGATGCGTGGGGTCAGGGAAGGAAAGAAAGACATCGTAGGTGCCCTCAGCAACACCATCCAGCCCCGTCTGTGGGTCCTGCCAGCGCTGACGCAGCAGCTGCACCAGCGCCTTGTCCCCTGGGGTTGTTGCCAGGTGGGGCCTCGAAGCCAGGACCCTACAGAAGGAGAGGGGTAGCGATCAGGTCATGGCTGGGAGAGAACCCAGGTGCCCCGGGTCCCAGTCCCTCCTGCTCGAACCCAGCAGCTGCCATCCCCTCCCAGGGTGGGGAGAGACCCCAGGCATCCCAGCCCTCAACCGCCCTGCTCCAACACAGCAGACCCAGATGAGAAGCCAGGCGTCCTGGCTCCCAGGCCCCCTGAGCTCAGCCCCCAGCCCCCAGGCCCCACTCCCCTTCCCAGAGAGCCCAGACCTCCCTGCTCTGCTCACCGCAGGTTCTCCCGGATCCGGGCACTCTCCACCTGCCCCATGAAGTCCTGTATCAGCTTCTCATCCAGGTCTCGTCCTGTAGCCAGTGCGGAGGGTCTCTCCCACCCCCCGCCTGGGGCACGGCAAAGTGCCCCAGCAGGATCCCAGTACCCAGCAGCAAAGCTCCCCCACAGACTGCCCCCAGCACCTGCCACTGCCACTTCATTGCTGCCTGGGCTGTGCAGGGCTTGGTGGTTTTTATAACCCCCTGCCCCCAGATCCTGCTCTGTGGGGGTTACTCATTAGCCCCTATCGTCTCCTTATCACCTCACCCAGCCCCTGCCCCTGCAGCCTGGCACCCTTTGATCATGAGGAGGGGCCAGGGGGTGGGTGTGGGGAGGGCATCTGAGTGGGCACAGTGCCAGCTGGCTTAAGGAGAGCTCAGACACCTGAAAGCAGGGAGAGAACCCAGGGGCTCAGGATCCCAGCTCCCCTGTTACATGCCCTGGTCCCCACACCACTCCCAGAGTGGAGAGCTCACTCAGGGTCCCCCATCCCAGCCCCCCTGCCCTTCCCTGGCCCCCTTGGACTGTGAATGGGGGTGGGGGACAGCTACAGTGCCAGCTGGCTTAAGGAGTGCCCTGCCCCTGCTCTAACACGCCAGCCCCACTCCCCTGGCAAAGCTCGGCAAGAACACATGTGTTCGGGCTCCCAGCTACGTCCTCCCCTCGCCCTGGCCCAGAGCACAGCAGTCGAGTGGCACAGGCTGAACCAGTGCTTCACAGAGCTGCTGGAGGGGCTGTTTGGGGCCCAGCGCCCAACTGGGAAGGGAGAAAGACAAGTAGGGAGGAGGAGAAGGAGGAGGAGGAGGAAGGGCTTCAGGGGCTCGTATTGGGGTCCCATGGTGTGGGAGACAGGAGTGAGGGCAGGATGCTAGCACGGGGGGTATTGTGCCCACTGCCCTCAGCTCTCTGGTGCAGGGGGAAACTCATGACCTTCTTGCCGTGAGCCATAGCACCGGGCATCCCCAGAAACCACCCTGGCCAGCCCTCCCATTTGTACCAGAAGGCATCAGAGACATCCCCCCCCAGTGCAATTTGCAGGGGCCAGGAGAAACCCAGGCATTGGGCTGCCAGTCCCCCATGCTCTAACCCACCAGCCCCACTCCCCGCAGAGATGGGAGAGAAGCCAGGCATCCGGGCCAGGCAACTTGGCCGGATCCTTGCCTCCCACAGAGCATGAGGCTGTACTGGACCATGCACTGTAACCTCCGGCAACTAGGCAGCCACGGATGGCTGTGGGTATGCAGGGCTGAGGCATCCTGGAGGGGCTGCTGGGGAGCAGGTGGAGGAGGAGCGGGTGGGCAAAGCCATGGAGTCCACATTCTAGTGACCCCCACAGCCATCCCCCACCTGTACACATGCTTCTGCCCCCCCCCACCTGCCTGCCTCAATGCCCCCCAGCCCCTTGCCCACATCTCTTGCCCCCTCAGACCTCAGGGGCTGGGTATAAAAGGCCCCCTCACCCAGCATTCAGATGTGGCTGGGGCTGGCGTGGTGTTTGCTACCCTGGTGCTAATGGAGGTGGGGTCTTGGGGAGTCTGGGTTTGGCAGAGGGAAAGAACTGAAAAGGAGGCTTTTGCGGGGGCTTAGGGTTGCAGGGCATGGGGAGCTGTGCTCGGCGCTGAGGGCTGGGTGACAGGGACTCTGGAGGTCAGGGAGTTGTGTCGGGGGGTCCATCTGTGCTCCATGACCCCTACCTTTCCCTGCTCCCCACCTCTCCGGCCTGCCCCAGCTGGCTGCTGGGGCTCTTGGGAGACCCCTGGCCTTGCAGGGCTTTTGCGGGGGCTTAGGGTTGCAGGGCATGGGGAGCTGTGCTCGGCGCTGAGGGCTGGGTGACAGGGACTCTGGAGGTCAGGGAGTTGTGTCGGGGGGTCCATCTGTGCTCCATGACCCCTACCTTTCCCTGCTCCCCACCTCTCCGGCCTGCCCCAGCTGGCTGCTGGGGCTCTTGGGAGACCCCTGGCCTTGC